TGTCTGGTGTTTTATGTATATGATTAATTTATTTTTTATCTTCTTTTTATCACTTTCTCTTGTCTCTCAGCTTCCTGCTTTATTTGATGCTTACTTTTTATTCATCATCAAGTATATTTTATTTTGTCCTTTTACTTATTTTTCTCTTGAATTTTTTAATTATATATATTTCTTAAACCACTTCTGTTTCTTGCTCTTCTATTCCACTTTATTGCTTCAGTGCATTTATTCTCCCTTTTATTATAATATTTTTCTTATCTTCAATTACGTTTTCAATCTCTTGCTATTTCTTTCTTTTCATCTCATTTCTTTTTTTTCTTCCAGTTCTTTTTCTAGAACTTACATACATGCTCCCGTCTCTCACCTTTTTTCACTCAATTACACCTCTTCCATCAACGTTCCTTTTTATTTTTATTGATCTTTCGCACTTTAAGACATCCTTTCCTTTTGCTTCGTCAGACCGTTTTCCCACATTTGTATTTTTCTTGCGCGGTTTTAATTTCCATTATTTCATTTCTTTCGATTTTTCTCCACGTGTTCCCGATTTTTAACTTCTTTTCTTCTTTTCCTTTTGTTCTTCTACAACTCCTCCTGTACCTTCCCCCTCCCTATCATACACTTTTCTCTCCAACGCTCTTTTTTTCTCTCACCAGTGGCCGTTCTTTTCACCCCATAAGAATGCAGCCTGTGCGAAATGGCACGGCTGCAAGCACGATTCGCGGAACTGCAGCTGCCGTTCATTAACGCGCGGTTATTAAACTTTTCGTCGTTGGTTTCGGGCCGATTTGTGCCATTCTCTTATGCCTACACCCCCGGTCCCTCATTAAAATTCATTCTACCAAGGCCTTCAAACAGCTATTTTCATGTCAAGCCTCTCCATCCCGTTGAGATTCTGAATTCTGGTTTCCGTATATCTAAAAGTGCGGTCATTGCTTATTACTTTGTGAAATATTTTCTTCTATAGAGAAACTATTTTCCTAGATAACTCAATTAATGTTTAACAACAATTGTATAAAAAGGTTAATGTAATTTAATTTATTACTATTCACCGTCACAATACTCGATGAAAAAAAATTTTTAATCTCCGTCAAGATTTGATCCTGTTACTTTTGGAATAAGGAGCGAGTACTTAACCAATTGAGCTATTTATATTTTCTAAGTCATCCAGTTTTTATTGTGTAAGGTAGTGTAGCGAAAAAAGGAATTTTGATTATCTTTACAAATATAGGGGTTGAAACACGAGTTACATGAAATTTGTGTCTCATAAATCGTAGGTACATGACACGCTTTTGTAACATTAATTTTAATGAAGTAATGAAAAACCTTGTTATGCAGTGACATAATTATTAAATCCAGGAATTAAATATTAACAAGGTCTCGAAGGTAGAACTAAGTAGATAGAGTATGTTTCAATTTAAGCAAACTGTAATATAAGTTTCTGAAAAGAAGAGTGAAAAAGGAGGTGAAGGAACCAGCTTAATTATAAATTTAAAAAGTTAGGGGGTAGTTTCTCGTTTGTAACGCCACGTTAACGAAGACAGTTGCTTCTTAAGATTAATTAACATCCCTTTCGTCGAAACGAGATTATAATACATCGTGGCGCGCATTCTCTCCACATTAAAAAATTATTGTTACCTTGATTGCACGAATGATGTCCTTTTCCTTTCCAACTTCCAATTTTTCCAACATTTCTGTAATAATTAAATTGATAATGAAATATAATAATATCTCTACCGATATATTCTATACTCATGTAGTACTCCAAATCGTGTTCGCTTTTAGCGAAGAGACCAACAACATCTGCTGTAATTTTTAGTAATGATCGATTTCTGTCGAAAAACGTTGGAAAGGATATGTGTGTACGCGGAACAAGTCAAATAGAATGAAAGCTAAAATCGCGATTTTCAAGTTGAAATACAGTTCGTTCTTGTTCCATCAAAATAAAGTTTGAAACAATGAACGCCAGAAGCAATAGTTTTATGCGAGTACCACGAAATATTAATTTACTTCAATTTAGAACGCATGCGACAAATAACCATAGCAAAGCTATCATTTCTATAGCAATGCTGCTAAGTTCACTCACTAATCATTAATTGTATGTAGTTGTTCATTCCAAGAAAATTGAGTCTGCGATTCGGCGTTAGTCACTAAGTAACAATTAGGAATTTTCACGTAATACTTTCTAGGAGAGCTTATTAGTGAAAATGATTCAAAGTTTACTGTACGACGCATAGCGATAAAAATTTGCATAGTACTTTTCCCTCCCCACCCTTCTTACCCCACGCCGTTCTACTATGCTCTCTCAATCTCCAGTTTTTGTAACAGCTAGCAAGTAACTGAATCGATATCGTCCTTCTACTGTTTCTTTTAGGAAATTAATTAAAACGTGGCATTCATTACCGCGTGACGTTCAATTTTCACGATTATTCTTCCAGTGTTCTGTTATTCATATATTTTTCTTTTTTTTTTGTAGAAATATCCATCTTATTTTCGGACTTCTCCATTATTTCTTAACTTCTTGCCTTACAAGTTAATACTATGGTTATTACAAAATAATTTTTTGCACTTGACGCTTTAATAGTAATCATTCTGAATAAATTTATGCAGCATTAGTTGTATACATTATAAGTACCAATGGCTCCTTTGGATATAATTGAATTCCTTTTTTAATGGAAACGTATTGCTGAAAACAAATATTTTAGAGAAAATATCACTCAGAATAAATTGTATTAGTTAAAACAAATTTAACAGAAGATAAGTAAACTATACTTATTTTAAATTCTGTAGATACATGATTTAAAGTAGATGGTTTGAAGTCGTGACACAGTATTTTTCTTCTTTATGAACATTTTTTCAAAAGGAGTATTTTATCATTCATTTTATACTTCTTTTATACTCTTCTACACCTGAAAGGGAAGCACACTCTAATATAATTCTTAAAGGCCTGTACCTAATCATCTTTTTCATAAAATACATATTCTGCGAGCAAGTACTGCGTGAATCTGTTTTCCTTTTCCTTCTTTCTCTTCTAATCTTATTATTTTACCAAAAATTTTTTTCATTTTTCACTTATTTATTCATTATCTCTGTGATAAGTCTTTATCTGTTATTTATTACATCAATTCTTGTCTTCATTTATCTTCTGATATTATTTATATTATCATGTATCGTATCATGTATCTTGATCCTCTTAAATGTATTTCTCAAAATAAGTAATTTATGTCCTTTAAACGCTTGCTGACATGAAGATACGGTGAAAAAGAAGAATTACAAATAAAGCTTGCCTCTTTATCGGTTTTCGAAACATAAAACCATGAATATTTTATCGATGGCGATGGCGTTCCGCGGTAATGCAAAATTAACTTTCCCCTGATGATATAAAATCAAGGCTATCGGTGCGTGTAAACCGGTTATTCGGCGTTTATTGTCCGAACAATTTCGATTGATTACACCGCAGAGTAGCTTGGTAATGAGATAAACGTATCATTGTTTCATTGGCATTGATTGTCGAAATCGTTGACACAAATGGACAAGATTTCAGTAATTGCGGTGCAAATGTAAGAGACAAACGAACGTTTCCTCCTATAGAAGGGCGACGAATTGCTTTCGGTATAATTTTCTCGCCCCCGCACTTCCCTATTAATTAACATGGCGATTTAACCAGTGCATATATCTGTGTCAAACAACGGTATACACATACAATGGGTCATATAATGTTCTGAATATTTTTGAAATTATTAGTAATATTAGAACATGTAAATAAACAATATTGAAGGCTTAGAGTATTACTTGATTTGATTTAGTTCAATGTACTTTCTGTGCATAGAAATATTAACAAGATATCAAGACTTCAATCTTGCCTATACATATTTCTTCATATTACCAGTATTTATAAAAATATTTATGAGAACTTATGCAACAAATCTCTATTTGTTTTCAGTAAAACCTATTCCTAGTGTGCAATCAAATATCAAGGCAGAAAACACTAGACATGTACTTGATCAGTCACTTAGTCTGATTCTTCCAAAATATGGTCTCTCGTTGACTCCAATAATTACAAGGAGAACTCATTGAGGCTTACAGCTTTGGCAATTAGTACTTCCCATGTTGTCGAGAGATTACAAAATTTACGAGGGACAAGTGGGCAAAACTTTCCTGGTGATATGCAAACTACGAGCAATGTTTTTACACGTACATAACTTATCGCTCGAAATAAAACGGGCAATTACCCACTCGAACAGCATAGACCCTGTAAAATAAAACATTATCTGTTACAATATTATTAACGCATACAACGATAATATATCGTACAATTAAATGCTTACCTTAACGAGTGAACCTCGTTTGGTCGATTCGATCAGCGTACGAAAGTTGAGCCATAATCAGTTCGATACCAATGGAGCAATAACCATCGAGAATTCTGTAACTGTCAAAACATTAGTTCTTCCCATACGGGAGTTCCAATTTCGCGTCAGTGACACGAACGAATTGATCCGTAAATTTTGGGTGTGCCATTCAGAGAAAAAATAACGTTCAAACCTCGTGCAATGGTAAACGTTCGCGAGAAAGAGAAAAAGAATTTAAAAAAAGAGAATATCGCCCGTTGATTTTATATTTGTGCAGTGAAAATCGATTCACGCACGATTTTCTAACGAACACTCGAATCTGTTTCCACGAAAACTGGGAAAAACGCGAGAAACGAGACAAATAAAAAATTTTCGAAAGTACATTGTTCCATCTTTATGGAACACAATATTTTTTTGGCTATACCCATCCGTCACGTCATATTTTCTACGGTGAGACAGCAATGTTGAATAGGAACATGATAGCTTCACCTTGATTCTAGCCATCTTCAATTTGCAGCAAACCTTTCTTTCTCATCAAAGCCTATCCAATCCGAGTTTTCGATGCTTGTGTAATAATTAAAACAACGCTGATTAGAAGGAGAAGATTAACGAGACGTTCATTTCATCCTCTTTTTTCTCTTTTTATGTTTGAAGAATGAAGCTGTGGTGGAGTTTGGCGCTGGTCGGTGTCGCCCTGTTGATGATCATCGTCACCGCCAAGGCAGAATCTGATCTGTGGGAGGAGGACGACAAGGAGGTTCTTGTGCGAACCGTTCGTGGCACCAAAGAACGAGGTATTAAGTTTAATTAAGGGTCTATACATACTTCACGATGAAATAAGACGAAGTCGATTTCAAGAATACTATTTTCCCAGTTTTGAGACCGACTGATATGATAAATTGTAAGAGAATAATAGGAAATCGTAACTCTTCTAATTCTGTATCCTTGATTTATTTTCTAAAGAAGAAATAGAATCTGAAGTATTCTTCACTTTGATTTTCAAGGTTTTCTAGGTAGATTTATTTACGATCTTCTAAAGTCTTCATTAAAAGTTCCTTTGTAGGTGGAGTTTTGGAAGATCAACGAGAAGAATTGAAATCTTGGAAGTTCCGCGCAGATTCCTTGTTAGTTTCGTCGAGAGATGAAGAAACTTAATATCTGATAAGTGTTTACAAGGTGTTCAAGTCAGGCTGTTTGCTCGCGGAGAGGTCAGTGATGTAGCACCATGGCGTCTGTAACGAGTTCTGACGGACTCTGCTTACGAGTTCCCTTTAATTACGCTTCCACACGAAAAGAAGTCACATTCACACTATAATATTCCTTTGGATCCTCTTCAAAAGTATTTTATGCGGAGAAACGTTGAGAATTTGTTTCGACGTTTTAGCTCAGGGAATGTTGACTATTTTTATTAAAATTGGGTCGACATTACTGAACCTTTCAGTACTTCAAATATCATAGTATTTAAAACGTTGCTACTTTTTCTCTGTCTCTGTTTCTAGTGTTAAATACTTCTAGGATACTTCTTATTCTTCAAGTACTCCGTTGTTATGTGATTTTCACCATTTCGAATGGCTCATAAATTTCCACCATGAGTTTTTATCCTTGACAGTCCTAGAAACCACGAAAAATAATTAATTCTTAATTGACATCAGTGAACGCAGAAGAAAAGAAGCGAAAGATAATGCGACACATTGGCAGGGTCAATCGAGTGTACCAAGAAAAGACAGTCCTCGTAGCAGATTGAAGCGTGGTATCGCGAACCCTGGCTTACGGAATGAAAAGATGCTTTTGTCTCTGCGCAGCTCTTTCTCTCATCTTTCGAACTTCCTCTCCCGCGGCCAGGACTGAGAATACAATTGAAATATCATCCAGTGGCGCGCACCGTTTCATTGTCGACTAAGATCATTTGGTCTTAGAAATTTATTCGGTCCAGGATTGAGCTTCACGGAACGGAGAAAGGGGAAGAGGGCTTTTCTTCGAACTCCTTTTCAAAGCGGAACAAGTCGCCGAAAGAAGGCCGCCGCTGAAATTCCAACTTCGAGGATCACGTTGAATTGCAGGTCGAACTACGAAGCTTGTGCCATGCCTCTTGGTTACTGCAACTTTCTACTTGCTCGTTTCCTATCCCCTCTCTACCTTAGTGATTTTCCTCCACGAGTTTCTAGGCTGCTCTAGGGATGCACGAAGTTTTGCTAGAAATTCGAAATTACGAAAATTTTGTGAATACTCGACATTATATATCAATGTATGATTCTATCCGATGATACTGTGAAGAATACTATTTCTCCTACTTTTATTTATATCAATGTATGATTCTATCCGATGATACCGTGAAGAATACTATTTCTCCTACTTTTGTTTATGATTAGAATTTTTCATATTTTCTTAGATCATAGATATATATATATTCTACTTTTATTAATTTTTTATACCATGAAATTTTAGATATTATTAATTAAATTATAAATTTCAAACTTTAATTTTTATAAAAAAAAAAAAAAAAATAAAGGAATAAAACAATTCCTATTTTACTTGAGCATAAAGAAAATTTTTAAATATTAATTTGTATCTTAAAAACTTACTAAGATGTATATTTTTGAAATGTAGATAGCCATAGTTATCAGTTAAAGAATGAACAAGATTTAACGTTTTCTATAGAAAGATAGCTACAACTGTTAATATGTTAATCTGCCTAGAACACCATATTGAATAGGTAATGAGAAAAGGGCTGAACTCTTAGATCGTAATTAAGGGCCGTCCTGTCCGTTCGGAAATTTCTCTGTCCACTTGATCGGTCGTGCCTCCAATTATCTCTATTGACGTTTTGCATCTGTTGACGCAGCATCCGGCAGCACTTCGTGCAGATACGTGAAGGGTCAATGGTCGGAATGCGACTTGAAAACCAACACACGGTCCCGCACTCTGAACCTTAAGAAGGGCGACAAGTCCTGCGAACAGACCAAGACTATTGAAAAGAAATGCAAAAAAGGTACATCCTATTATATTCAGTTTCACCTTCGACGTCCTCCATTGCGAACTGACTTAGATTATTTAATTAATTTCCTTTAATAATGAAGAGTTTATCATCTTATACTGAAAAATGAATACAGTTCATAATTTCAATTAATCGAGTTTGATATCTTAAACAGATTATACATCTCTTATGATAGAATACTTACTTATTTAAATCATCAGAAGGTTTCTCGTAATTTTTTTCATAAAATAATAGAAAAGATTCAATGAAATGAAATACACTTCATAATTAAACATTTCTCTATTATCTCCCATCAACAAAGATTAGCTTTTATATGCTACAAAATACACATCTTTTTCTTAATATTATATTTAGTTTCAAACTACGTTTGTACTTTACTTATAAACAGTATACGATGTATCTCTTGATAATTAATATACCCTATAAACCTAGGGACATGACAAGGTTAGAAAGTTCTTTATATAGAATGAAAATTAATAAACCTGATTAATTAGTGAGTAACTCAAGAATACCTTAATTAACTAAATAAAAGAAAGAAGAACGTGTTTTAATTTATTGATGACTTCAGACAACGGTGCACAACTGCTAGTGATAAATGCACGACAGAATAACTGTTTAGTCGTTTTTTGTGATACCTAAAACAGATTCAACAGAGATAAAATTGTTCGTAGTGAATTATTCACGGTACGCTATGAAGTACGTTAGAGTGAAAAAGGTGAAGAAAATTGTGGTTAAAAACTCATTAGAGCAACGCCATCAAACACAGACTGATCAAATTTAACGTACACAAACCGTTAAGAAACTTTGTAATTTAATGAACGCTCCTCCATTTCCCCGCGTCTTTTCAATCGAATTAAACGTAACATTTAGAATTAAATCGAAATAAGTTTCGTCGATTCGGAGATATATCAGATTTTACAGTCGATACATCGAGCATGTATTCGATTCTCGAAAGTAAAAGCTCCTAGGATAAAGTAGAACGACAACTTTTTCTTAAACTGCTCTAATGTGTTTTTAATAGATGGATAAAAATTAGTGAAAGAATCGATGGTCTTAATTTTATAATGCGGTATGTGCATCGTGGTCGTCTTAACTTAAATCATGAGTGAACAATAATAGAATTTATGGTGGTATGATTATCCCTGCGTGGTGGGGAATACAGCTTGCCGGTACGAAAAGGGCACGTGGAGCGGATGTGTGAATCAGCAGATGGCGAGAGTGGACAATTTGAAAGCAAACAGTGATGCCTCCTGCGACAAAACGCGCCGACTGACAAAAAGGTGTAAACCGGAGACCAACACCAAGAAATCTCCCAAAGGTATGTTTATTATCTTCTTTCATGAAAGATACTTCAATATCTCCCATAAATATGTCCAATTGATATAGGATACCTTTGGACATAACCTACAATGTCTGGAAAAAAGGTAGTTTGTTATCAATATAATATAACGAAATAAAAACTACGTTTCTTATAATTTCATTGAAGGTCACAGCTCTGTTGTCTAAGATTCAGTGTTCTATAGTAGTGCGTAATTGTACTCTTAATATCGGCATTAGTGTCGCGATACCTCGCTTCATCGAGCATGCTTGATGATGGCATTGACAGAGTTAAAGATAGCTTATTGAAACTTCTCTATACAGTCACAGACAATAGCAGCAATAAATGTTCCGTATCAACGTTTGAATAGACAGAACATACATCTAAAGAGGACGTGTCCTGTTCATATCGTAATAGCCCTTTTTCACAATGAATTTTCTGTCATGAATGAATCTTCCTTTTGGATCATAAAATAATTATACAAATAATATACCAGATAAGTAGAATATAATTAATTAATCAATATTTTTTCATTATAAATGATAATTTGTTATAGCTATGATAACTGAATTTCATAATTTTTACAAATTTATTATCGATAGTTGATAAGTAATGAAATTACAAAATTCGTTGAAACAACTAAATGGAAATTAAAAATAAATATTTCATAAAATATAACGTTTATAAATAACTAAGAAATTTGACTCTCATGTTAATAATTTGATTGGTTTTAGGAGAACGAGCGAATAAGAAGTCGGGTAAACAGTAAACAGGAAAATCGTCAGTCGATCACTCAAGATGGTGCGCAGCGATCTGTTTCGACAACAGGCAACGAAAACACAATCTTGTCTTTTCCACGTGAAATTCTAATTTTCAAACAAATATTATCTAGTGTGAGCTTGTAACATTAAATGGACGGAGAAGAAAAGTTCTGTATTTTAAAGTACTGACAGTGATTGTAATTTAAATACGATCGTAAATCTAATTTTCAAACGTTTTCGAACGTTGCTGTCGGTATATGCTCGATCGTCGGTAATAATTATCGATCGTATATGTCGGCTGTTTTCAGAATTACTTCCATTATATGTGGCCAAATGGTATTAATAATTGCTATGCAAACGCAGTAACATGCATAGTTGGACCCAATAATGTTCTTTTTAGCAGTTTCGCCGACTCTGTAATTGCTACATGTGAATATTACAAACTTTGTCCTCGATACAGTAGTGTAATGAAGTCATTAAAGATCTATTATTCCTTATTATTATTTTTATACTTTTTCTGCTTTCATTTATCAAGTCATTAAATAATTAGTTTTATAAGTATTATGTCCACTAGGTTGTAAATATAATTGGCAAAATATGCAACTGACATGGCATATATAGACTGTTACTTTTAATAAAATGATTTTTTTTATATCTTTTATAAGATTACAATCTATTATTACATTATGCTACTGTGTCGATGACAAAATGTTCCAAGCTATAATAATTGTATAGCAATACGCTGTGGTGAATCTCTAGTTTCAAGAATCGACATGAAATGACTGCCGTTGTGATTCTTTACGAAATATATTCATGCTAGAACATACATCGTTACTGACCCATTTGAATTTTCAACGTTATATTGTGTATTCAACGATCATAACGTACATAGAAATCCCCAATTAGAGGTAGATTATCTTTATTTTTTTGATATGCGTCGAAAGATTAAAGGAAGAAAAAAGTACGATCATATATGGTATCTATGTTTTTAAGATGCCTATTAACTTCGTCTTCCTCTAACTAAAAGAATAAACAAATTTACGCAAGCATTTATCAAATCTTTAGAATTCTTTCTCACGCACATTCTTAAACATACTATTGTTTCAAGCTAATTCTCTGTTCGATTTATTTTTATTAATGATATTTACACTTAAAGCCAGGTACAATGTTTATGGACAGAGATTATATCCTCTCGATTGTCACATAATATACAGTGTTCGATGTTAACTATGTCTCATACATTCAAAGGTTTCCAAACTTTTCGGACGTTCTTACTTTTATTAAGAAGTAATAGAAATTGAAATGATATGCATAAACTTAATTATAGTAACAAAAATAAAAACTACTTTTGTACGAAAATTCAATTAAAAAATTCAATTAAAAATAAATAAATATTTAATAATCTTTAAATTCGAGTGAATTGGAAAATGTACTTTAGCAACTGCCATGTCCTTAAGTTTGGAAATCACTGTCTTACGTAATAAGCACGATTTAATAATTATTACCATCTCTCTGATATGTACTAATGATTCTTCTCAACAAAACGTAACTCTTACATAAAATGAAACGTCGATATATACAGTCGTTATATGTGTCTCGTATTGTCTCTGAATGGAAAACTTAATAATAACGAAAGCCAAATGAGCATAAAAATCAAATTAACATAATACAAAAGTCTCAGGCTTCTCGTAGATCCGAGAACTAATTAACTTAATTAGAACTGGTCTCTACGAGGTGATCCATTGAAACTATAGAAATCAAACCTTTCCCCTTCCGAATACAAGATTGTATTTGTTTTTAAGTTTAGATGTATACAAAACAAAAAAATTCGATAATAATAACGTCAGCTGATTCAGGTAATTTTGCCGGGTGTATAACAGTGTATCTGTATAAAAAAGTACATTCAGCGGTATTGATCGGTATCAATGATCTTAGATTAGACTACATATGTACATCATATCATCATTATGCATAAAAAGAATTAAAAAACGAATCTATTAATAGAGTAAGATAGCATTATCTATGTTCTATGGTTTCTTTTAATTAACTATCATTAAACGTCTACTAGAACATAATTAAATAATAACATGCTTGACCTCTCTTTGTGTGGAACTTAATGGAAGTTCTTCGTGTTTTAAATGCATTGTAACATAGCATAATAACGATAGAAGATACGCTAATAATTAGAAGTAAAATTGCTCTGAAATGCGAATTGAAGCATCATGGAGAAAGAAGCGTTAATTGCTTTTTCAAATTTCAATCCATCATTGTATTTGCAACATAATCAAAAGTCTTTCCAAAATGTTATTAACTGTTTTATGCCATTCAAAACTTTTTTTTATTCGTTATGTTAATAGGTTAAACTCGCTAGCGAATTTGAAATCAAATCGTAAACAGAGAAAAATTCTGTTCGTTATCTTCCTATAGTAGTAGTGACAACAAATTTGCATCAGATCAAAAAGTATGAAAATATTAGTTGAGTAAAAAGAAAAGTTTATAAAAAAAGATGTCTTCAATAGGAAGTTCAGGTTTTAGTTGCCTAGGAAATCAAAACAAATTCATATTTCCTAAATCAAATATTTCGTAGCTCGTGAGAAATCATCGTCAGTGATTTATTTACAAGCTGACGTTGTAACTGAACGCAAAAATTGTATAATGTATCTACTTACTTATTAAATAATTGTGTAACCGTTACACATGTAATAAAAATCCAATGTTGTCAATAAAAAGTAAATATTATATATATAATCATTAATTAATTTCAAATGATTTTAGTTAATATAAACTTGTCGAATTTTTAAAGTAGAGGATACATGTAGAGGATACATGTAATTACATAATAAAATGCATGTTTTATATAAAGATAAGCATATTTTATTTATATGAAAAACATATATAAAAAATACAAAAGTTTACAGATGTTAGCTAAAGTGCTGTTAGATAACAAGCATTATATTTTACAAAATGGATCAGATCTTTGTTTCTAACGTAGTTATAAAATTTTTTTCACAAATATTTTGTCCTTTTTCTGCATTTTATATCAAAGTTAGTGCTTAAAAATATAAAAGTTATTGCTTACTTATTGTTTAATAGAATAAATTGTTATTAAGATGTAAACTATTAAGATAACATATATAAATGGACGGAGATTCGTTAAAATACCTTACCCTATATATAAACGATGACATATAAATGACATATAGCATTACTTTTTAAGGCACACAACTACATAATCTTAAAGTAAAAAAGTGATGCTATCCTGTATGTGCACGTTTGAACAATTTTTGGAAAGAATACATATGGAAAACAATGTTTAGAAGAACTAAAATGTCAACATCAAATACAAAGTAAACATACCCCTAGATATTAAAATAAATTCTGGTTTAATTTAAATTGTTTCCTAATATGAAATAGATTTGCAATATGATGTGAAAACATATGGTGATATCTACTTAATTTTACGCCATAGAGACTGAAAGTTTTCGCGAATATGCCTTTTCCTCCCATTCCTGGTCAGATGGCAACGGTGTGTGCCGTAGTTTACAAATACGCATACCATACTTTAGTAGTATCATTATTACGCAAACAACAAAAAGGGTTAAACAGGTAGTTGCTGGCCAAAATATATGTAGCCCCATTTTTGATGTGACTTTTTACTTAAGTGATTTTTTAAATTGTGCAATTTCACTTTGTGCACTTTGTACAGTTGCTACTTTTGAACTTTGGCTATTATAATAGATCAGTTTGTACGATTGTATGATAGTTCTGATGTTCTTAACTGAACATTAATGTTTTCATGAGTTTATATATTTGTATATAATATCAGAACTAATTAAATTTCACTCTCACGTTTTTGCATCTCCATATATTCCTGTGTTTGTAGTGCAGTTCCATATGGTTTAGGATTGTGATACTGTAAAACCTCCTGTTTCTCTTGTGTTTGAAAAGCACATCCAGGTTCTAATTCACTTAAGTCTAAAGGTGGTGTTTTATGCGGTAATACTGTCCATAATGGTTGAATCCATCTATTTCCTAATTAAATAAATGCAATGGAAAATTACAAGATCATATAAGTTGAAGTAGATAAAATATTTTATGTAAAACTCACCAGTATGAGGACTTTGCCAATAATTTCGATGACGGGAACACCAGCAAAATCCAATGTTCAAAATACACAGGAATGCAAATATCAGAGAACAGATAGTGACGGTGACATAAAATGGAGTAAAATCACCGTATTCATGCTTCACGAAGAACGGATTCTTCAGATAATCTTCTCGCTCGTCTAAAATGGACATTTTATAAATTTTAGACTGAGATTCTTCTGAAAAAAAAACAAAGATAATTTTCCCTTCAGTGCTTAAATTTTTATCAATAATTTTATTGATGCCAATAATTTGAAATTAGACTGAAGAGAATAAATATATTTTCTTAATCATAGTTATGTTGAATATTTAAAAACAATGCATTTGTCAATCAGTGAAGTACTTATTTTTTATGAGATATAAAAAATACATATCTAAAGAAATAAGTAATGCCTTGTTTTTTAACAATTTAAATAATTTATTTTTTAGACACAAAACTCGCGTCATCTGCTCTTAAAGAAATGAAGGCGTGGCGTAAGGTCAACATTGCGAAGTTAGGAATTACATGGAACTGCATCTATATTGTTTACTAATGGAAATACTTGTTACTTCTTAATTAAAAAAATAATTTTACTAAAAAACATAATACTATTCATACATATATTGAATGAACTGTGACATAAACTTCTAAAAAATGAAATTGAGGAACCTCAATTTAGAAAAATAAGAATAATGCATTAATATTATATAATACGTACCACGAAATGGTTTTCTTCTTGTGCTTGTTTTTACTGATGATTCATTAAATTTTTTTTAATTAGTAACAAACATGATTTAGTTCTAGCATCAATGCAACGACGTAGTCATCTCAAATACACGCATCACTTAATGCATTAGAATCTGTTACACCAAATTGTATTTGGGCGGGGCGTTGTATATAGTAGGTGGAATGAATGCTTTGTGCAGCATTCACATGTAACGATAGTTCGAAACGGTTGTAATCTCGAATTAAAGATATTTTAATTTATTTGATTACATGTAGAATTAAATTGTACAAAATGATGAACTGTATTTTGTTTTATTAAAAATTTATTGACAATATTTGTAAATTATTATATTTGATCTTTTGTAGCTATTATACACATGTTTTCTAAAGATACATCAGTTGTAGTGTAATAAATTAAGTTACTTTTGAATCCAACACGTTTTAAATATTCCAAACGACCCCAATTTAATAACGATTTTACTTTTTTGCCAATTCTTTCCCTTTCACTCGAAGTTAAAATTTTTATGTTTGTCCTGAAAAATATTATATAATATCGTTTTCTTATTATTTTTCATACATAATGAAAAAAAATATATTACTTTGTTCTTGCTGAATCTTTTTGAGTATTTTCAATTACAGGTGCTTTTTTAAAACCAGATCCACAAGTTGCCCAACTAGCAATACTACACAAAACTGTGAATTCATTTGGTGTAAATCCACACTGTTCTAAAAATTCTTTTCCAACATATGATGCATATTCACATCTATGATGGCAACAAAATGCAATAATTAAACCAACAACATTGCATTTAGGCTCACTATTCATTGCTTGAATTAAGCAATTTAAAGTTAAATCTACAAAATAATATTTTTTTCCTTATGTAAGTATAATGTAATACTTACTGCATTAAAAGTATATGAAAAAATATATATACCAGTAGCTGCTCCACACAAATGTTTTGCAATACCAACTTTATATTTAAATTTTTGAATTTCTGCTATATCATTTAATTTCAAATCAGCAATATCAGCACGTATTCTTTTTATTAGAATGGGAGATTGTTCATTCTTCAATTTATTATCACTTTTATGTCTATGACTTGAACGATCTACTAATAAAATACAACAATCTTTAGAATTTTTTAAGATTTGACCTAGCCAATAAGTTAATTTGCCCTTTCCTGCTCCAAATTCAATAAAACATGTATTTTCTTTAACAAGATTTGCCTGTTCTAAGTGTGATAACAATGATGAGTTTTGTAAGAGATGCTTCTTAATATTTTTTCCACAAGATCCATCATTTATTTTATTTTTAAGTATTTGATGCTCTAATACTATTTCAGGAAAGCTTGGTAACTTTTCTATGAAAGACAATTAAAAATTATACATTAAGTTCAAATTTAAATGCAAATATGTGAATATGTGAATTTTTAAATTTAAATTTGATCTGAAATTTAAAAGTTAGAATATAAAGAAAAATAGAAATTACTAACCATAAACATCTTTTACTTTATCTATAACTGTACTTATCACAAGTTCATTTAACTCGGAGAGTGGTATATGTTGCGTGGCATTGTATGCTTCATTAGCATTAATTCCTTTTATTATAAATGATGGTTGTGCATCAATTAGACGTTTTGCATTACACACCTTTAAGTGTTTAGATAACTTAGATTCATAACATGTACTGGAAACAATCTATAAATTTTATATATATAAAAGAATATGAAATTATTTTTGTAACAAATGTAAACTTACTGTGCAGAATCAAGTGGACATTTTATTCGTTTATTTTCAACTCTTTCTTTATCAGTACGAAATTGTAATGAAACTTCTTGGTGTTCACCGCAATACTTATTTCCCTTCTTCACTGTCATACGGCAATAACGTTTCTTTCTTTGCACAAAATACATACAATGATTTTCTTCCACCATTTTATTAAATTAGTTGTCCTTTCTGTTCGATAATTTCAACGTTTTATAAATAATTTTTGTTAATATAATATTTGAAAAAATTTAGGGTGTATAAGTGAACTTAACCTAATAATTAGTATTATTTGAATAAACCATTCAATCTCTATATGGATAAATTACTTAATTAAACAAATAAATGAATACTATTACATTTAGTAATTATTAATTATATAATTTAAAAGTTCTATTTATTAAAAAAAAAATCATGCAATTGAATTTATATTTAATCTTTATTCACGGCTACTAACACTTTTCCGTCAACGGAAATATAGAAGATAGCTAGAAACCTTGGAAAAGACTCAATACAATTTGCGGAAGTTAATAAAGACGGCAAAGTCTAATCAAGAAGTGTGAACATTGGAGATTGTGTGCAATCAGTGATTGTGCTTTTGTCTTTAATATTCTAACATTATTAGTGATATTAATTTTGTAGCCATATTATTATAATTGTGGTGAATATACAAAAAATTAAAATAGTGAGATATCTTATCACAGAAAGAGATAATCATACATTAATGAAGATAGAATGAAGAGAAGCTTGGTATGTTTAACTTCGCAGAGATAATGACAATAAAAACTGAGGCTGTCACAGTGAAAACCAAAAAGATAGATTTCGAGGTAACATTACTGATTTAACCAAAAACAATTACCAAGCGAACATAAAAAAATATCAAACATAATAACGTTAAATCTAATTAATTAATCTGCAAATAATTTATCAGGAATAAACATAGAAATAAACAAAAGACTAACACTAATATAACAATACATCAAATAGGGAATTCTCTACTTAAGTTAGTATGAAACAAAATTTTAAACAAAAGCATCAATTCTTAAATTAATATTTCACTCTCATTCAGAAGCATACAATGAGTTTCTGCTGTTAATTAAGATACATAACCTATAATACCATATGATATTGAAATTGCAAAAAAACACAACATTGATAAGTATTCTCAAAAGTCTTGATAAAACAAACAAAAAAAACATCATAGGTGAATTAAAGTCTAAATCAATTATATTGTTCTGAAATTAAGAAAAATTAATTTTTACCATAACCAATCCATAAAAGAAGTTTTCAACGAGTAAGACAAATCTCAGCTTTTTATCAAAATTTATTAAGAAAAATTTTAATCGCAGAAGGCTTGTATTCAATGTTATATTTATAAAGCATATGATTATAATTCTTGGAAGTATAATCATATGCTTTATACATATAACTTTGAATAAAATTAAACATTCTTTTTTGATTTTGTATATTCATTAGTTAATTGTGCATTGCATATTTTATTATTGTAAGAGGAATAATTATTGTAGTTAACAGTTTTTCATATTTAATTTATAATTCTTTGCGTTTACTTAAAGTATTTGTAGTTTTGCAATTTTATTAAATCTAATTTTATCAACAATTGAAAATATAAATAATTATTTATCTGCACTTGGTCATTTGTAACTTCCTCTGTAGATAAAACAGTTAATATATTCATGTTATCATTAATACATTTTTGTATTAAAACACATATATTACATATCTATAATTTTCAAGATATCAAAAATAATTTTCCATAATTAACTAATATGTTTGATAAAAATGTCCTATATGATACAAATATTTTCTTGTATATATTTATAATGTACATTATACAACACACTCTACAATTTGTTTATATTGTAAATAGTTACATATCTATTTGACTAGAGTATGTACTCGTTTTAGAGTTATCAGCCAATTTAACCAACATTTGTTGTCGAAACTTTATGTAATTTTCTATCCACTGTTCACTAAATTAACTAGTTCATGTAATAGTCGGAATGTCAATCGAAATTTTTTAACGTCGATCGTTTTATTAGCAGTTGGCTATATGCATTCGTTTAATACCGTTAAGGCTAAATTTAAATACGTTTTTATGCTTACTGTTCAGGTATGTACTTGAAATAAAATATTCACGATGAACTGTCATGTATGAAAATACTACTCGCTAAAAATTTTTTCGACATTAAGACCATGTGAAGTATCCAAGTTTGTCTAAAGTGCTGTTTGCTTTTGTCGTTTTTGTTCTGTTAATAACATTTATATGATTAAAAAGTGTGTCGCGTATAAGTGTATATAATATGTGTATAAGTATGTGTATAATGTAGTTCACATGTGATATTAGTGTGCACCGAAAAAGATCGCCTTAATGATCTGTTACGTATTCTGTGCTACCTCCAGATTGTAACCTATGTTTGCTTACTCTAACAAAATATTCAAAACAATAAACAATTAATGTTTGATTACAATGAAAATTGATACTTTTTTGTGATGCCTCGTCAAGATATAATTTGATACCGAATGAAAATAAATAATGATGAAATCCAAAAATAAATGTGCGTGAAACTATTTTTTGATTAATCTACGTATGATCTCAGACCAGTCGAAGCAGTTGAAGCGATAAGTTTAAAAATTAAAAATCTTATGTGCGGCGACTCAGTTTCTTTTTAAAATTTTGTGGATCTAGTAGCTTATTTGTCACTACGTGCAAGATAGCACCAACCTGTTGCTATCTTGTAATCATTTAAAAAAAATGTGTTATCAGTGTATTCATGTTTATATTCTTAGACCGTTGTGGAAACGGAAGTGGTACGCGATGACCCTCTTATTAGGCATTGTATCAATTATTCTGATTCAGCAATTCTTTTTTGCATCCTACCTTCCTTTGAACCAGACAAAACATGATACATATTCGAAGGAACTGTATCGGGATGGTATGTGAAATTCTTAATATTGTATATCAGTTAAGAGGTTGCTATATGGAAAAAATAAAATGAGAAATGTAAATGAAATACATAATTGAAATACGTTACTTTTTTTATTTGCATTTTAATTGAAGGACGGACTAAAATTATTGAAACGTGTGATAATATTCTTGTTAATACTGTAAACTTTAAAAAAGAAAAAGAAAAAGTTATTATTTGTAGTAACATTGTTTTTACTGCTGTTGCAGCTTTGAGTCGATGGTATAACTTTACTGACGGTGAGTTTAGAAAATCGATCGTTTAATTTAGTTGGATTTTTGAAAAAATTGATAATGTAGACATAGTTGTAAAAAAATTGTAGAAAATTCGATAAGCTTCTACAGGTTTATTAATTATAGAACAAAATGGATGTAAATGTTATGTTTTTGTTATAAATTTTTCTTAATTTAGTAGTAATTTCATATTAAGCGTAGATGTACATAGCATATACATGTTATAACTACATTTGTTTATGTTTATACATCGTCATGTGATAACAGTGTTACGCAAAATTACAAATATTGTCTTTGAACCAATGAAATACGCTTGTTACCTAACCTGTGATTTAAACTTCAACCATACAAAATAATTCATAACCTTCTTTTATTGGTTAGTTATGACGTTTATTTATGTTTATGTTACACGACTATTGTTCACTTGAACATACATAATACACAAAAGCATAATAGGAAATATTGATTTAGATTTTAAATTAAATTTATTTACGTTTAGATGTCGATGGTTATTGCAAATTATGTGTTAACATAACTTTGTAAATGTAATTTATATATCTAATGTACGTTTATAGAATTAACAAACAATTGATTTGAAGAAAAGTATATATTATATTGTAATGTTCCTTAGAAACATTCAATCTATAATATTAATTGCCGTGGTTATTAGTTTTCTAGTTATTATTTTTTTATTGTTAGTTTTCTAGTTATTACTTTTCAATATCTTATAAAGCTGTTGAAACCACTTTTACTCTCTGTAATATTTACTTTAATTGAATACGTTCAGCTTACAGTTATGTCGTGTCACTTAATTACCAAGGTACGTTATTAATATTACATGTTACGAACGTTATATGAAGGACAGTGCATGTAACGATTCATTAAATATTCATAGTAACTCATACTTTCATTTACATTGAAAATTTATACAGTTCTATTGCGATCATTTTTGAAAGATTCTATGTATTTGCATAACTTTGTTAATCTAATTTACATAATTATCGGCAGATGTTATATGGTATAATGATAAAGTGCAATCGCCATCGAATCCAAGAAATTGGCAGCGGTATATGATGGATATTCGACGGAATTGGATATTGTGGAAATATAATCCGAATTATTCATATAACCTAGAAAATCCAGAAATCGAAGATCCATCAATGGGACAAGCAAGTGTAATTCGGAAAATTTTTAAGGATAAGGTAATATCGAACTATTGTATTATAATTATATTATATTTTTAATATGAAATTAAAAGAAGTATATATAAAGTTAATAAATAAAGTTAATAAGTTTACATGTAACGCTATTAGTGGCTTCAATTCAAATAAAAAAAATATTCAGCTTTTTAAATATTTGAACAAATTGATAACGTTAATCTTGTACACAGAAAAATGGCTTCTTTGTGGAGTGTGGCGCCTACGACGGTGAGACTCGAAGTAATACCTTGGTACTAGAGCGATTCCTCGATTGGAGCGGCCTTCTAATAGAGGCGGATCCTTTGAATTTCAGTAAGATGCTGCAGAAGAACAGAAAAGCTTACCTGACACCGACATGTCTTGCCATTGAGCCATATCCTTCGGTGGTACGAAAGTTCGTAGTTTGTAGTGAAAAAAAAGAATTGTGCAATAAATGCAATTATTTAACTCTACAATATTTTAATTTTCAGAATTCCTTCTTGATGGCTAATAATGTAGGGCGTCTTCATGAACCAAATGCTTCGGATAGCCATTTGCCGAATTCCCCTGATGTCGCTCATAGCGGAATTCATGTTTCTGTTCAATGTTTTCCTTTTATACATTTAATGTATGCTCTTAATGTGACCACTGTAAATTATTTCAGCCTTGACATAGAGGGCCATGAGCTTAAAGTATTGAAAACTATCCCGTTTGATATGATAAACATAGAGGTGAATTGAACAAACTGATTAATGCAATTGATAAAAAGTTGTACTTTGAAAGTAATAATTGAATTATGTTTTAGACACTTTCGGTGGAATTTTCCCATGTTGAGAATGGGAAAAAGGAACTAATTGATTTCATGGAATCAAAGGGTTATTATGTCTATTCCTTGGTTGTTAGATCTGACAATTTGGCTCATGATGTAATATTCGTAAAATACGATTACGAAAAAACTAATTTAGTAGAATAATTCCATAGTATTAGCTTACAGTTACTGTTAACTTTTAGTACTTTATTCCTTTATGTAAAACATTAGATATATTGACATTTAAGATAGTTTTGAAGCTTTTACTACTATTTAGGTAACTTATTTAATTTACAACTATATTATTAAATAATATATTATTATATTAGAATGCACAAGATGGAATATATTGCATTAATTTTTTTTATTTTGTCGGTTGTGCAAAAATTATTCCAATTTGATTAATTATTTTAGTTATTATTTAAAAATCTCATGATGATATTATTAGTATTATTTTAACTTATTTCAACTTTATTTTACAAAATATTTACAAGATTATTAAGAACGATTAAATACTATGAGAATTTGTACAACATGAAAACTGTCCAAAGAATATTTTTTCCACTTCGTCTTATGTATCTTAGATATTTAAATATTTTTTGCATTAAATGATTCCTATAACAAAAATGAGATACAAGTTTTCCTATATTTAAGAATTGAAGTGGAAAGTGTACACTTTTTAAACACTACTGGAATGATTTAATGCGTAATTAAATCAATTTGTTATTTATTGCTACATCATGAGCAATAAAGTATTAATAATTATCGCATTCGCAATAATAAAAATATCAATGCACAAGTGGCGTTACGATTCTAATTAAATAAATAATTATTTAAAGCTTGTAGACTAGCGTTGTCGTTTCTTAAATATTTTTAATATTTTCTTAAATACTTCATGAAAAAAGATTTCATCTAGAGTTGTTAAAAATATCTATAATTATTCTAATAGTTATCGTAATTTTATGTGCGGTTAATATCAGATGAATAGATATAGCACTTGGTTCAACTATTATTTTATAAACGCATAGGAACTTAAAACTTATAAGAAGGTAATATATCGTTTTGTACATTCTTAAAGATGCATATTATTTTTCATAGGGATTATGTCTTACTTTTCGAATACGAGTATCATAGCAAACAGTAAAGTAAAGCTATAAACTGAGATCCCTTTGGTTCTTCAAAATTAATACAATTTTATCTACTGCACAGTTTATCTTTAATCTTTTCTCTATCCAAAGATACAGTTGCTTGTTCTTTGTTCTAATACACGGTAGACGTTTACACGATTAGTTAATCACAGATTCCAAAGTTCTATGTAACAATAATTCGACTCTAACGTATCGTTCATAATCTTATGCAGATTGATGTTTTTGAGAGGAAGTAACATACGTATTTTTAAGTAAATGATCATTTTTTACCATTAGTAATTGCTATAGTGCATTGAACATGTATTATTCGTTCTATATTTCTCCCCCCCCCCTTTCTCTGACTCTTCCTCTTTATTTAAAATAGAAACAACAGCATTAAACATTGGCCTGGTTAGATACTTAATATTTAATGTCGAATCAACTGTTTCATTGTCTATTAAGCGACTTCAAGTCAGTTCCTAATAAATAAATGTTTTATAAAACACAATTCACATAGAAGTACGAACGATGTTCGAGTGATACTACAATATTATGGAATGATTTGAATGATCACAGTTTTAAAACTTATCATCTCCTTTTTTCCTTTTTTTTTTTTTTTTTTTTTTAAACATAACTTTCCTGCTTCTTTTTAACGATTCTTCCACTAACAACCGTCGTTTGAAGCGGCACTTTCATCTGTTTTTCCGCGGACACGTTGTTGCACGGCACCTTAACGCTGCTACTTTTGTTACTGCTATGTCTTCTCCAAAAATCCGAATGATTGCTGCTACAGTTGGTTGAGCCAGTGGTATAAGTACCGGTTTTTTCCGAAGTTTTCTTCTTCTTCCTTTTGTTAGGACCTAGGCCACATAACCTGAGAAACCCTTCCCTGAATTTTGTGGACATCAGATTGTAGAGAATGGGATTAATGGCGGAGTTTAGGTATAGCATCACTCGACAGAAATAGAGCAAGGTAAAATAGCATTCAATACCAAGGTTCACGATCCTGGTCGGTGGAACAGCCAGGATCCAGAGCGTCAACGCTCTAAATGGCAGCAGGCACAGAAAGAAACAAAGAACTACCGTTCCCAGCATTAGCATCACCTGCTTGCGATATTTGAGCAAGTTATTCGACGACCCACGACTAATCGTTGGATTCGTCATCAGATATCGTGCTATCACCGTATACAAAACCACCAGGATCAGAAGCGGTATCACGAAGAACACAATTATTGTGAATAAGACGAAACCCTTTGTCCAGTATGTATTGGCAACCGTGTTACAGGTCGGAATGTACGTACCGTCGGCATTCTCCTCCTCCTCGTAGGTGACCATTAGTAGGATGGGACTGTGAACAAATTTTTTACCGGTAATTGACGATTTCTTTATACTATTTTCGTTTTATATATCTTATCTCACATAGTTAACCTTTTTTTTTTTTAAGCGAAGCATTATAATTTGTTTTTAGAAAGAAATAGTTTTTATATTCTTTACAGTTTGGAATATAATCATCGATGGCTAATTTATCTTATAATATATTTGTGTAATAATTTTATAAATATATTACAGTAACATCGTTCAGTGAAATAACATGGAATGTTATCACTCATCGCATTTACAAAAGGTTACCATCGGTCGGCAATGTAAAAACGAAGCATACGTACTAATTTTATTCCTACCATCACAATGGTAAGAAAAAATTATATTTGCCTAAATGCACGTTTACAATACTGTCAGTGAGATCGTCATTTTTTGATTAGCGCTATTTACAGTTCATAATTCACGTAGCCCAATCACTATTCCTATCATTAAACATGAATCATACGAAGTTTTCTTTTTGTTCACTGATATTTTTTTTGGTTCCAGTCATGTTATTCCTCGACGCTCTCCTTTTGCACCCTTTAATTCTACACAGTTTTAAAAATTCTCTTCTAAATTTATTGCTCATTAAATTATATAATACTGGATCAATAGCGCTGTGCAGATAAAACATAATCCTGCTAAAATTAAGAAGCGCGAAAAATGTGTCTCGGTCGATAGCAGCGATTTTTTCAGCCGGCGCAATCACTATGTAAAAGATAAGTATTCTGTATGGCGATAAACAGACGAAGAAGCTGATAACCACAGACAACAGCATGGTAATCACGTTTTTCTTCGCTCTGGCATGGTAGGAATCACTGCTATTACTGGAATCGGGCATCAACTGCTTGATGATGAACGTATACAAGATCAGTAGGATCAGCAGTGGTACAATATAGAACAGAAGGATCAGAAACATGAAGAATACCATAGTGGCGCTAGTGTCGGCCATCGTCAGACAGACTGGAACGACGTTTCTTGCGTCCTGATTGTTCTTGCTTTCCTTCACGCGCATCTCCTGGTACTGCGAGACCCAGATTATGGGACTGCAATCAATGAAAGTAAAATTTGGCGGATAGCTGCTGGGACTTACGGCATCTTCAAGCTGGACAGAGCTCAGATGGGAAGGATGATGGTTCGAGATTAACGTGTAAGCAGTTTTTAACCCCTCTACCGCCCTGATCTGCGCAGGATTTGCCTTGTAAGCTCAGCAAAGCTTGTGATTCGATCGTGACTTCGATTCGAGGCGGGATCAAACGCAGCGCCACCTGAACTGTCAAATTCATTAAATCGCATTTACACGAGCAAGAAAGAAGTTCCATGCGATTCTACTGTCTTTTTCTTTCGTCATATTCTAATTGGAATCATTGAATTGTACTTACGAAAGAATAACGCAAATGGACAGTGTTCTTAACTTGCTTCTGATAAACTGTTCACTGATTTGCTTCGATAAAGAAGAACGCGTGACGAACAACGATGGGGATGTTTTACAAAGATAAAATTAGGTCGATAGTGTCAAACGGAGTGCTCTGCAATCTCAATTGGCAGATACTTTGTTCAACTGGATAAGGTAATTCGTTGATCTGTTTATATTCGTTTAAAAGACATACGTTATTCCTAGTTCCCTTATTTTTATTTTTTTTTAGTTATTCATTTTATAACGATCTTCTGCAAAAAGCGTCACTTCTGTCATTTTGAGCATCGGATTTCTTTTCGAGGAAGAGAAGCTCTTAGCATTTTCTCAAAGACGTTTTAACCATTGAAAGACGGACAGATACCATCTAGCCGTCAGACGGTGACACTCCCACGTAACGCAATACAGTGTCCTGTTGGTTTCTTTTCTTTCCTCCTTTTTTATGTCTTAGCACGAATTTCAGATCCAATCTTCGCACGAAAAACGATACTGTGGTATTGAATTTCCTCCAATACTCGAAGTGGAACAATTTTCGGTAATTGCGGTCTCTGTCGTATTCTCTTTCTTTTTAAGTAGAAAGAAAAAGAAAAAAGATGCCTTTATTAGACTTTTTCACGCTGTTTTTGAGTCCCGACGTATTGTACCAATATCTGTAACTTCTTGAAATTTTAAGAAATCTCTATCAAGGGCCATAAATGGTCTTTGAATTATTTAAAGTACCACTGCTCTTTATTGTTGCATCAAAAAGCAGATTTTTTAAATTATGAGGATTTAAACATGATAGTTTCATTCAAAATGTAGAATTATTTTTCAATCAGATTTTTTTAGATAATTTAGATCATTCCAAAATAATTTTGGACACATTAGAGCTTTATAATGATACTGTTTGCTAGAAATTTCTTTACCGTCGGTGTAAAAGCAGTTTATATGTAGGAAGAGATGGTTTCTTGAAACTATATATCACTTTGTCAATGGTAGTAGTAGAATTAGCCCATAGATCAGACGGCGAGGGTTTACAGGGTGATGTATCACTGGCATTGCGCAGTAAGACCATCTAGGAACACTTGGGACACCATTCAAGAATTTACCCTTGAAATGATACGACACCAGAAATCTATCTTACTTCCTTTCCTTTGATAAACTCGAATACATTTTCAACAAATAAATATATATATAT